ACAAACCGGGCAAAAATTGGATATTTTTTTTGCGTGCTGCTGGCTGGGGAAGTTGAGCGTTCCCAGCATCCAAGAGAAAACCCCTGAGGAAAATCGGGAGGGATGGGAAAGAAATTGGGATTTATGAGCGCCGGGGACACAGGTGGGAAAGTGATCCCGGGGCCGAAGGAGGAGCCAAAATCGGCGTTTTTCGTGTGGGTTTGGAGAAATCCAGAGCGGGGGGAACAGCCTGGATGAATTGGGGCGAAAAATAAAAAAATTGGGGGAAATTGGGTAAAAAAGGGAAGGGAAGGGAAGGGAAGGGAAGGGAAGGTCCCTCAGGCCATTCCGGGAAGGGAAGGGAAGGGAAGGGAAGGGAAGGGAAGGGAAGGGAAGGGAAGGGAAGGGAAGGTCCCTCAGGCCATTCCCAATCCTGTTTCCCGCGATTCCAGGCACGCCCAGCCCCTGAACCCTCTGGGATCCCATTCCCGGGCTGATCCCTGGATCCCATTCCCGGGATATTCTCTGGATCCCATTCCCGGGATGTTCCCTGGATCCGATCCCCATTCATTCGGGATTCATTCCGGATTTATTCAGGATTTATTCTCTTTATCCAGCGGGAAAAGCTCAGCTGGGTGGAGAGAAGGAGATCCCTGGATCCCATTCCCGGGCTGATCCCTGGATCCCATTCCCGGGCTGATCCCTGGATCCCATTCCCGGGATGTTCCCGGGGGAGCACCGGGATCGCTCCCATCCTCATTCCCAGGATGATCTCTCCCATTCCCATCCCCATTCCCAGCCCCATCCCCATTTCCATTCCCATTCCCATCCCCGTTCCCATTTCCCATTCCCAGTTTCCCATCCCCATCCCCATTCCCATCCCCATCCCCATTCCCATTCCCATCCCCATCCCCATTCCCATCCCATTCCCATTCCCAGTTTCCCATTCCCATTCCCATTCCCATTCCCATCCCCATTCCCAGCCCCACTCCCAGCCCCTCTCCTTCCCTCCAGTGAGCCGAGCTTTTCCTGTTGGATAAAGAGAATAAATCTTGAATGAATCCTGAATAAATCCCAAATAAATCCTGAATAAACCCTGAATAAATCCCAAATAAATCCTGAATAAACCCTGAATAAATCCCAAATAAATCCCGAATAAATCCTGAATAAATCCCGAATAAATCCTGAATGAATCCCGAATAAATCCGGAATAAATCTTGAATGAATCCCAAATAAATCCCGAATAAACCCTGAATAAATCCCAAAGAAATCCCGAAAAAGGGGAGAAGGCACGAGACGGTGACAAAAAATAATAAAGTTTATAAAATGATAAAGGGTAAAAGTGATAAAGGGTATAAAATAATAAAGGGTAAAAGTGATAAAGGGTATAAAATGATGAAGGGTATAAAACAATGAAGTTTGTAAAATAGTAAAGGGTATAAAATGATTAAGTTGATAAAATAATAAAGGGTATAAAACAACAAAGGGCATACAATAATCAGGTGTATAAAATGATAAAGTGCATAAAAGAATAAATATTATCAAATAATTCTATGGTTATGTATTTATTTTATTTTTTATTATATTATTTGATGGAATTTAATTATTTTTTTAAACCCTTATACTTTATTTTATTCTATTCTAATTATTTTAATTTTTGTTTTATTTAATGTGGTTTTATTTTTATATTCTGCTTTATTCCTAAACTTGCTTTTGTCCCGATTATTTCATTTATTCTCCATTATTTTGCTCCCAAACGAGCAGGAGGAGCCTTTGAGCTTTCCCAAACCCCACACCGAGCGATTTCCTGGAGCTTTTTGGGGGAATTTTGGGGGAATTTTGATGGATTTCCATCCAGGTAACCCCGGAGAGGAGCAGCTGCTCACCCGGCACAAAAATCCCGATTTTCGAGCCGCTTTTGGGGGGGATTTTTGGTTTTTAGGACCAAAACCACCGTGGAATGGTTTGAAAAAAAAACCCAATTTTTCCGCTGTTTTATTCAGTGGGTGGAACCATCCCTGAGCCCATGCACGGAGACTTCCTTGAAAAATTAATTACAATTAAAATTAAAAGCAAGGGGATGAGTCTTAAAGGGAATAATAAATAATGAAGTCAATCATTAAATAAATATTAAATAAATAATAATTTAAAATACAACTTTAGAAGGAAAAAAAAACCCCAACAGCCACTGAAAAATTTCTGCCGAGGTGACCTCGGGTGCAGCCGAAATTCTCCAATTTTCGGGAAAATTGGGGTTTTTAAAGGGTTTTTTCCCCTCCCAGCGGGGATTTCGGGATCCTTTGGCGAAAATCTTTAGGAATAAATCGGTTTTTTCTCCTGATTTCACCACCGGGCTCCCGCGCGGAGGAATCGAATTTTATTTTTGTTTTTATTTTCGCAGTGAAGCCGCGGAATGCGGCAAAATTCAAATATTCACCCTCGCCTTTCTGCCCGCTCATTAATCACCCTTTCAATTAAAAAATGGGGTTTAAAAAATGAGTTTATTGATCCGAGTAAAGCCCGAGGAGCGCCTGAGATGAATTGAAAAACGCCTCTTTTTTTTTTTTTAAAAAAAAAACCTCTTTTCTTTTTTATTTTTTTTTTCCCTGCGGGTTGCGGCAGCCCCGGACTGCGGAGTTTTGAAATTAAAATTCAGCGCACGGAGCCCTGCAGCAGGAGCGGAGCGGGAACCCAGGAACGCAGCGGAAATCCTGCTCGGAAAATCCAAATATTCCTCCCCTGGATGGGATTTCTGAGCAGCAGCGGGGAAAAAACGCCAGGAAAAAAAGCGATTTTTTGGGGTTGTTTTGGGAGGTTTGGTCCTGGTGGGGTGGGAGCCAGCGCGGCTGTGAATAATAAATTTATTCCGGGGGTTTGGGGGTCCTAAAAATCTTTAATTTTGTGAGAAGCGATGGAATCGTCCAGCAGAGAGAGGGGGAAAAATGGATTTCAGTGGGGGAAAATCAAATCTGGTTCGCCTTTGTGCAGAGCTGAAGGCGGGTTTGTCAAAATAAAACAGCCTGGAAGGTTTTATTTAAATATCGAATTTTAAATTTGTCGGATGTCCGGTGTTGTTATCGCTGAAATTTAATTAAATTTAAACCGTAATTTGGCTCCAGGAGTTCTCCTGGTTTGTTTTCAGGTCTGAAAGGACGAAGTGGCATCAAAAATTCGGGGAAAATCGGCAATAATTCAAATTTGGAATGGACGGAGGGGACAAAAAGGGGAGACCCTTTTTGTAAGGAATCAAATGAAATATTTGGGTTTATTTTAGGGGCTCGGATTGGGGAAAAACGGGGTAAAAAATGAACTTTTGGTGACGTCGGGCAGCTCGCACATTAAAAATCCGAGGGGAAAAATCAACAATAATTCAAATTTTGAACAGACGCAGAGGGCGGGAGGGGAAAATGAAATTTTGGGATTGTTTTAGGGGCTGGAATTGAGGAAAAAAACGAGGTGAGGGGGAAAAAAAAGGAACTTTTACGGGGCAGGCAGAGCAGGCTGGGGTCGCCGTTAATGACAGCCCAGGAATGTTTACGGCGCGGGCTCAAGTTCAATGACAAAATCCTTTGAAGGGGAAAGGGAAAGAGGGGGGAAAACCTGAAATAAAACTAAAAAAAATAAAAATAAAAAAAAACCCAGGCAGACTTTGTGCGCTGGGAATGAACTTGGACAAAAGAGAGGAGGGGGAGGGAAAGGGGCAGGGAAAGGCGCGGTGGGGCCATCCCTGAGATGGGGGGTTTGGGGTGGTTTAGCTCAGGATTTGGGGCTGGTTTAGCTCAGGATTTGGGGCTGGTTTAGCTCAGGATTTGGGGCTGGTTTAGCTCAGGATTTGGGGCTGGTTTAGCTCAGGATTTGGGGCTGGTTTAGCTCAGGATTTGGGGCTGGTTTAGCTCAGGATTTGGGGCTGGTTTAGCTCAGGATTTGGGGCTGGTTTAGCTCAGGATTTGGGGCTGGTTTAGCTCAGGATTTGGGGCTGGTTTAGCTCAGGATTTGGGGCTGGTTTAGCTCAGGATTTGGGGCTGGTTTAGCTCAGGATTTGGGGCTGGTTTAGCTCAGGATTTGGGGCTGGTTTAGCTCAGGATTTGGGGCTGGTTTAGCTCAGGATTTGGGGCTGGTTTGGCTCAGGATTTGGGGCTGGTTTAGCTCAGGATTTGGGGCTGGTTTAGCTCAGGATTTGGGGCTGGTTTAGCCCAGATTTTAGGATGATCTAGCCCAGTTTTGGTTCTGGTTTAGCCCAGGTTTTGGAGCTGCTCTTTCCCGAGTTTTGGCTTTTTTTAAGCCCAGATTTGGGCTTTTTTTAAACCCAGGTTTTGGGGCTGCTCTTCCCCAGATTTCCGTGCCACTGTGCCTCCGGTTTGGGGGCTTTTCTAGGCCAGATTCGGAGCTGTTTTAACCCAGATTTGTGGCTGTTTTATCCCAGGTTTGGAGCTGTTTTACCCCATATTTGTTAATGTTTTACCCCAGATTCGGAGCTGGTTTTTTCCCAGATTTGCAGCTGTTTTTTAGATTTGGGCTTTTTTTAAACCCAGGTTTTGGGGCTGCTCTTCCCCAGATTTCCGTGCCACTGTGCCTCCGGTTTGGGGGCTTTTCTAGGCCAGATTCGGAGCTGTTTTAACCCAGATTTGTGGCTGTTTTACCCCAAATTCGGAGCTGGTTTTTTCCCAGATTCGCGGCTGTTTTATCCCAGATTTGGAGCCGGTTTTACCCCAGATTTGGAGCTGTTTTGTCCCTGACTTGCAGCTGTTTTACCCCAGATTTGGAGCTGTTTTACCCCAAATTCGCGGCTGTTTTAACCCATATTTGTGGCTGTTTTACCCCACATTCGGAGCTGTTTTGCCCCACATTTGCAGATGTTTTGCCCCACATTTGGAGCTGTTTTACCCCACATTTGGAGCTGTTTTGTCCCTGACTTGCAGCTGTTTTACCCCACATTCGGAGCTGTTTTGCCCCACATTCGGAGCTGTTTTACCCCATATTTGTGGCTGTTTTACCCCACATTTGCAGCTGTTTTGCCCCACATTCGGAGCTGTTTTGCCCCATAATCGCAGCCGTTTTAGCCCGGGTTGGGAGCCGGTTTAGCCCGGTTTTTAGCGCTGCTCTGGCCCGGGTTTTGCGAGTCTCAAGTTCAACGGCAGCGGGAGGGGGGAGCGGCCCCGGCGCGGCTCCTTCCCGGCGCTTTACGAGGGTGTCGGGCCCTCCCCGCCTTTGCTGGGGCCGCCGCGGGCGTTTACAGCCCTGCCCCGGCTGCGCCCCCTCCCCTGCCGGCTGCGCCCCCTCCCCTGCCCGGCCTGCGCCCCCTCCCCTGCCCGGCCTGCGCCCCCTCCCCTGCCGGCTGCGCCCCCTCCCCTGCCCGGCCTGCGCCCCCTCCCCTGCCCGGCCTGCGCCCCCTCCCCTGCCGGCTGCGCCCCCTCCAAAAAATAATAAAGTTTATAAA